GATGGTCGAGAAATATATGGGGAGAGTGTCACTCTCACAGCGCTTGCCACATGCAAGGTACATCAAACCACTTGAAACACTCAAACGTGTAGAGCTAGTGGCTCAAAGTGATGTCTGGCCGGTGGTGGTCGTGCGTGCCAGGTTCGCGGACCACCGTGCGCATTCGTCTCGTCTGCTAAAACTGTGTTTTTGTTTGTTTGATAAAATAATGCTCGTTCGGCCCAAATATAATACATCATAAATCTAGCTTGTTCAACAGACCTATTGACAACTTTTTAGCTACGTCGACCTTTTAGCTAAGGTACATCACACCCACATGAAACACTCAAACGTGTAGAGCTAGTGGCTCAAAGTGATGTCTGGCCGTTGGTAGTCGTGCGTCGCGTGTTCGCAGAACACGATGCGCAGGTCTGCTTAAGTTAGAGGTTTCTTTTTGTTTGATAAAATGATGCTCGTTCGGCCCAAATATCATATAACACATCATAAATCTAGCTTGTTCAACAAACTGATTGACAACTTTTTAGCTACGTCGACCAACCGTCATCGACCAAAAACGATCGAGGACAAAAATCAATCGCCTCGCGGCGATCCACCGGCTCGAAACCGGTCGCGAACGGTGGTAGCTTCGGACACAACCGAAAAAAATTAACGTGCCTGAGACTACCCGAATCTGGTAATACCAGACCACCACACTTGGGTATTAAACCTTCACCGGATCGCGCACATACACGCAATCATAGCTTTTTATCACTAAACCGTGAGTTCATGAAGGTCCAGTGTTCGCCAAGTTCGGCAATAACTGAATCACAATACAAAGGACGAATCAGCACCGGGCCCACTCGTGCGTGTAACGTATCCCGAGCTGGTTTGATGCAGAAAATCACTAAGTAAGAGGCGGCAGACTGAAAAATGATAAAAGTGATTGGCAAAAACTAGTGATAAATTTAGTGTAAGGAATACTTATGGGGCCTTCGAATGCACTACGACCTGGATACCGTGTTTTCGCTGATATTGGATTACTAATGTTCCGGCACGGACAGATTGATACGGTAGCAATACAAAAACGAAAAAAAAACAGACTCTTCATTTTTTATTGAATACCCGACATGTACACGAAAACTGCTTTGATAAGACTAAATCATGTCGAACAACAATAAATAGTTACACATAAATCGACTAGTCCTTTTCTGAGTAGCCTAGTCAACTGAAAGAACAGAATTCGGCACTGTATAAGATGCCGAGATTCTATGCGGAAAAAAATAAACAACGAGGGAATCTATACAAAGGCAATTGGACATGTGGAAGGTGTAGATAAATGAATCCTTGCTGGCTGACACTTCATTCAAACGTCAACCGGATGCTGCGTGGGTAAGCCACCATTCTTGCATACAGCTTTGGCAATGGAGGCGATTAATTTCACGTCATACTCGTTACCATGAGCTGCTTCCTTGAGGTTGTTCATAGTACGTCGTGACGCCTAAACACACGATTCATAAACACTAAACACTAAACAAGTAAAGGATAAAAACCATATAGAAAAGACGCAAAATTTTCCGTGATGTTCAGCCTCATAGCAAGGATGGGCTCGCTATGTACCGAAAACTTGCGCCTTCAACTAACAGCTACAGTAGTACACCTTCAACAACGAGTTGAATCATTACACCCACATGTTCGTGGAAGAGTGCAAAAAATCAGATTTAACTCAAAAGAAGAAACACTTTAGGATGGATGTCATTCAATCCGCACCATTCGACCTCACACAGAAAATTTAAAAACGACTGACAATGCTGCAAAAATAATTCGCAATATCCCTTTCGTGTGGAGCACTGGCGGCGTTGTTCTTGCATGAGTAAGTGCACCTGAAAACGCAGATTATCAGAAGGAAACCATACATGTCTCGAATCATGCAACTATAACATGTTGTAAGAGAAAAACCAGTATTGAAATTTCCAAGAATTAAAAGAGGAACGTAGTGTTAATGCAACCTTAAGGGATGTTTAGGAGATGAGTTATAAGACTGCTGTGCTAAGCCTATCCACACTCCCCTCGTTTCCTATACTTCCTTGGATGCCTAACCTGTCTTACGTCATTTGTATAAGTGGAGTTTATCTCCTGTTCAAAAGCCTCACAAAAACCTTCTATTCAGGAGTTTGTGTATGAGAGGACATGGGTTAATTGAATCGGTTTCCAACGATCACCCGAACCGATACAGCTCACATACAAACTTTTCGTTGGAGTTTCAAAAGATCGGTCCGTAAATCGCGAAGGACGGGTTTTGCACTACAGCAGTGAATAGAAACGCTACTAACCGAGGAGATGCTCAAGAAAATCAGTAACTAGAATTTGCAGGTGATAACAATCGAAGCCATAAAAGCTCACCTAGAAAGCGTAGCGATCATACTATAGATATCGATCGCCGCGTCCGCGACACGGATCAGCTCATACTGTCGGTCTGTAATTGTGATTTTATAGATATTATGAGAACTTGAGAATTTATACAAGCTCTACTCTATTTCCAGAACAAAAGCAATGAGGAGCAATCCGTAGTAGACTAAATTCGGAGCATTAAATATGTGATTTTGACAAGGTCGCTCGAATGCATAGCAAAATAGCATCCAACGCTCACCTATAATGCCCTTTTTATACTTGATGAGAAGATTTTCAACTGTTTTGCCGAATTCCTTGATGCAGTCGTCCAACTTTTTGGCTGAATCGCTCAAAGCTGGATCCACCACAGCTCCGAAATCCGCTCCAGTGCTGCCACTGAAAGCATTAAAATACAAAATTCTGTCGATCCCCGATGAACCTTCGAATTCCTCACCCTGTTGCTCTCTTCACCACCTGTCCGAAAAGCGTTCCAATGCTACCGGATTTAATATCCTTAGCCACCTGTTGGAGATGTTTTCCAGCATGTTGCGCTCCAGTCAGAGCCACAAATAGTCGCATGACATCGTTTGCACCCTCGAATATTCTAGGAAAAGCAAATTCTTCATTTTTAAACTAAGCGTTTGCCTATAACATTAATGGGGCTATACTACCTGAAGATTCGTAGATCCCTCATGACTCGTTCCAGACCACAATCCTTCATGAATCCCATACCACCGTGCAGCTGAATCGCTTCATCACATACCCACCAGGCATTTTCCTACAACATCTTATTACAAACGATCAGGAAATCATTCGCGGGAAGAAAATGGAGCTATGAGGTTCTTTTCTGCTGCTCTCCTGATGTGCTCACAGTCCATCAAAAAACCCATGACCCATCAATCATTATTTTCCCTGGAACGCTAATAACATTCTTGCCAAAATCTGATCCTAAAAAAAGAAATGCTAAACACACCTAGGCAGCCCAAACAACTTTTTTGAGAAACCATACGAGTTGTTCAGATTTCAACATACTCTCCTGTTTTCAATTGGTAACATAATGTAGAGCAGTTGGAACACTTGTGTTTCATAGAAAATGGCTCAAGAAAGTCATAACTAATAAACGCTACCTCCTCTTATCCACCATAATGTTTGAATATTATTCTTGTCACCCTCGGTGGTGATGCTGTGCTGTGAATAAAAAACAACAAAAAACTCAGTTACACTTGTTTACTGATGCTCCTAGGAATTCAACAGTTGTTGCCACCCTCCACTTTACGACGCACCAATAGTTTTGGCCTATCTGGTACAACACGCCCAAGCATTCTGCTTATTTATGCGTTCGTGTATGTATGTATGTATGTGCATGTATGCGTACGTGTGTTTGTGTATGCTTATGCTGAAGATATGATACACATACTTCGAAGACCTCTTCTTCATGTGGCACTGGGTTTACCTAGCCGTACTTGGTAGGTCTCTGTACACTGCACTTAGTTCGTGTGCAGGCTGCTCGTTTTTCATAAATTGTGCGCGTTCCCAGAGTGTAAGCCACAGGATGTTAGGTCTTGAATAAGTTGCACGTAAGTGCCACACTTGAGATAGTTGCAAGCAAATTACAAGTAAATTACACATGTGCTGAACGTATGTTGTGAGAACGCTAGGGTTACGACACAAGTACAAGTGAATGAATAGGTTGTTGCAAGTTGCAAGTTACAAGCTAAACTGCATCTACTAGAAGCGCTCCGATGGCACGATTCGGTACCAAACGACGAATCAATGCTATTTAATCTTCAAAGTTTCACTCCCCAATTCATCGGTTGTTGTGCCACCATGTGTAAGTGTATTGTCCTCACTGCCCCGGAGAAATAAGGGAGTTATTCGTCACGTCAACGTAAGTTGTGTTTGTCCATTTCCTTGATAGGTTCTCCACTTCCTGATCCACCCGTGTGACATTAACTGTTGCCAGCCAGGTAGACACACACACATAAACAACCTCTACACAATATACGTAAGATGCACGCAACATGTACACAATTTGGGAGCACATTACTCACAGAACATGCACACAGCCTAAACATGATCTGGATCAAATTATTATTATTGCAATGTTATGAGGGCTCGACTGAACTTACTGATTTGTATTATGTTATTCGTAAAGGACCAACTCCTCATTCATAATACGTTTATCAGAGTAACCAGTAGCTATATAGAAAGTTACAAGAACTTGGAAGTTAGTCAGTTCCAATCTCTCGATCCTTCTTTTCAATTTCACTGTAACTTAAAAGTTATATTTTTGAATTTTGGTGGTGTAAACCACCATAATTTCGAAAGGCTGCGAGGAAATGTCGCACAGGCCGGTTCGCGCTGGGTATCAATCTTATTCTTAGTATGCACAACATTCTCACGCCCACACTTGAAGTACCTGGAGCAAGAGCTGAAAAAGAGCCCGCTACTTCTTTCTCATTGGAGTGCATTGGCCACCTTATGTTCGAAGGAGCAACACCTTAAAACCTCTCTAACCACACTGTGCACGCGAAACGATCACTTACTCCACGAATCTGTTATCGAGACAAAAAAGAATGTTTTGTAATGATTGATAGCTGCAAAATAAATAGAGAACCTACCGACGCCGCAACCTTCCCAATGGCTGCCTCCAGCTGATAGTCCTGAATTCCGCGATCCATATTCGCTGCAAGGAGATAGACAATCGACTCCGTGGCATAATGTCGAGCAACCATGTTCGTGAGCTTCTCCTTAAATAGATTTTGAATGGATTATCTATCATAAAACTTCGAAATCTCGAAATAAAAAGCCTGAGAAAACGAACTTGAACGTTGAAGAATTCTTGCAGAGTTTGACCGAATTGCACGCGATGTGTTATGTGATCAACCTAAACAGTGATTACAAAGTAACACCTCCAATCAATCTCAATTGTCAAAAATCAACATGAAAACCTAAATTAATTGAAATTGAAGAGTTCTCACCGTCTTCTGAATGCAATACTTCATCGAACCAGTACATGATGCAGGGATACCGAACCGGCCGTTGTTCAGGATGTTCATCGCTACTTTGAATCCTTCACCTTCAACTCCAAGCAAATTCTCTACGGGCACCTGTAAATCGATTTTTTAGTCGAAACATGCATAGTTGTACCATACAAATCATCTGAAAGAAATGGCTGCAGGTTCAGCGCCGACCTTAACGTTATCAAAGTGCACTTCAGCGGTATTCGATCCTTTGATGCCCATTTTCTTTTCTTGTGGACCACTGGTTACACCGCCAAACGCTCGCTCGACTATGAACGCGGACACTTTGTCTTTCGTGCTACCGTCGGGCATTTTCACTGGAGTCTGTAATGAATTTGCGTTCACACCTATATAAAAAACTGTTCAATCATGCCAAGCATATTTTATGTTATAAAGAATCTGCTGCGCCAAACAGCAAAATTTAAGGAATTCAGCTCTTCGTTGAGGAAGCTCCTGTCTAAAAGAACTGACAGATAAGGATACCAGTTTCCAATGGTTCACGCAGATATAATTTGAAGTTCCGTACGGGGTTTCGAACGATTCTTTGAAACTGCTGTCCAATCCCTTCCTCAGTCACTTGTGAGAAAAAGGGACAAAAGAGCTTCTACCCTGCCGTGAGTGACCCCACGTGGTCAACCGCAGAACAGTGATGCTGATGTAATAGCAAGCGATGGCGCAGCTGGTAAAGCTCTGAACTCATAGGGTTTGCACCCTCGATGATTGTGTTCGTTTTTTTTCACAAAATGGGTGCAAAATATTTGCAGCACAATGCAGCTTCACGCTCCTCCTTGTTATCTGTTGCCCTTTACATCAGCAATGGTTTTCCGGAGAAAGTTCCGGACTGACAGTTCCGTTGCTGACTTCAGCAGTGATTGATGACCCCAACTAAGTAAAGCGACATTGACAAGGGTTTACTCAAAATGGATTCGCAGAATGTTATGCGGCCCCATGTACTATGGCCAGATGATGTTCGCGTGAAGTGACAGAAACCAATTTCCTTCAACAACCCCAATAACTCCTATTTCGGGCACGGTCCGCCAATGGTGATTCATTATAAATTACTTCCATGCGCGAACGGTCCAATTCTTTTGTCGAAAGGATAGAAAAGCAATGGGAAGAAATCCCTGACGCTAGGTGATGCTCCTTATGACTATACATGACCGTACTACTGATCCACTCGGGTCTCCGGATGACAGTGACGGCGACGGCTCTAGCATATCTCGGGAAAGAATCCCGCACCATTTTGAAGATGTTAAATGATTCTTAGGGAAAATAATTCAAAATTTGATGTTTGTACCGATGAGCTGCACTTCCGCAGTGGAGTTGCATCGCCTTTTATCATGCCAGGTCAAAAAAAGTAGCTCTTTTCAAAAACCTTGCTCCTTTGTTCAGAATAGCATCCGAGGAATTTGATAGAGAGTGTAGCACAAATTTTGATCCGTCAAGACACCATACATCAGTGTTTCCCATGACATTTGGATGGAGGCGGATGCAGTGGGCAGATTTTTCTTGGCGAATTATTCATGCTACGAAAAACATTTTTTGCTTTTAATGCTTTCAGGTGAAATATCTGAGTGCTCGTTAAGCGAAGCGTGAAGTGTTTCTGAAGTTATTCCAAAATGCCTCTACCAGAAAGCGCCCTGATCAGATGATCAGATAATCCGTTTTGCTCCCCCTCCAAAGGCAAACTGAAAAAACATTCGAACATTTTGTAGTCCCATTCCAAATAATTCAAATTTAGGCATGCCGCTCGTGCAATGAGAAAATGGAAAGGTCAAGGGATTAATCATAAAACCCTATCGATGAGGGCAGCCAGATGATCCCAGGTGCCAAAGAAAATTGAATCAACCTTCCAAAATTTGCAGCCTCAAACACTACCATCGAACCCCCATATCTTCCATGGAAGCTTCAGGCGAAGCACGGTAAGATCATGTCACATTACAGTAACGGCATCGTCGTTAAGACTCTCTGTGAAGGGTAAAATTACCAAAATCTATCCAAATCTATAGCTGAGTACTATTTCTCTTCAAGATTGCCCTAACCTTCTGCCCATTTTGGTTGAAAAAGTTCGCAGTTTGTAAGATAGTTGAAAAGTACTGAAACGTAGATAAGGAACAGAACTATAGAAGAAAGAAAATACCTGAGCGAACACGGTGAAGACATCGGCGAAGCCACCGTTACTGATCCAGATCTTACCACCGTTCAGTATATAATGCTTGCCATCCGGACTTTTCTCAGCTCGGGTTTTGATTGACTAAACAAGAGCCTGCTTTGCGAATTTTCTAATTCACTAATAGAAATGCTCTAGGACATTTATCTTTTATCGCTCATGCAGTAACACAGCACTCACATTGGCATCGGATCCGCTGCTCGGCTCGGTAAGGCAGAATGCAGCAAATTTACGTCCAGCAGCCAAATCTGGTAGATATTTATCTTTTTGTTCATCAGTACCAAAGAGGAGAATGCCCTTATAGCCAATCGACTGAAATAGAA